AAGATCGATTCCCGAAGACATCAAAGAGAGTTAAAGTGAAAAAATAAATTGCTGGTATGGAAGTTTGGCCAGCATACTGACATATTATTGTTTCTCTATATAACATAATTATAATTCTGTGATTTAATGTGAAAAATAGCCAGAAGGAATGATCAGCCACTGTATCTGTATGGAGATGCATTGACCTTGACATGCCCTCTGACTGAAGCTACTGCAGTTAGGTAATCCGCTCTAAATGTAGACCCTTTTTCAGTGAAATATAGGAAGGAAATGTATAGGAGAAAAGAGAGAGAAGGGAGGAGGAAGGGGAAGGGATGGCTGAGGGACAATGTACATGGAATGGTACTGAAATTGAAATCAAAAGTTAAAACTAGAAACATTATACTTTCAGTTTCAAGTTTTTATTTCACGAATTCCCCTTCATCTCTCCCATATTCCCTCCGCCCTTCTAACCTCCTTCCTCTCATACATTTCCCTCCATCTTTTAGTGGAAAAGAAAAACGCAAAAATTTAAGTGTTTCCAAACAGGCACTTATTTTTCATCTGTTTTTCCACAGGTTTCAGAGAGGATGATGATGAGAGATATCGGCCCCACAATTGGGAATCAGAACGACATGAGCAAGATAAAGAGCATCCTCCAGGTCATCAATCCAAGCTAAGTGATGAATTTCCAATTCATAAAATCTATATCTTGGTTAAGTTAGACCATGGTTGAGTTTTAGCCCACTGTAATAGTTATCAAAGAACATTTTAGTTTGTTCGTTCGGCATAACAGCTGACGCTTAATAACCTTCTTGTTTGGACTTTCCATTTCATATGCTTTCTTGAGCTGCTCGAAGAATTTGGTTATTTAGCGTAGATGTGCGGATGGTTTAGTGATATTGATTTTATTGGACAATTCATTGAGTTGGTGAAGAAGATGCAGAAGTAATTTAATGTTTTACATATTTTGTATCTAAGACATTTCAGCGTACCCAGAGGTTTTGACTGTATTCTAGGAGGTTTCATTTAATTTATTTAGCTTTTTAATATTTCAAAGCTACTTTTCCCCGAATAGCACTTCATTTACTAAACTTTTGTGTGCAATGGAAATTATCTATGGCCTGGATTTTGTTGCCTCCTCTTGACTAAACGATACTATTCGGATAGACAATTGAGTGTGAAGCCAAGCCACACTGTTTTGTAAGGTGCAAAGTTACAATAAAATAAAAAATAAACATCTGTTGCACATCCTTCTCACCACCCTTCCTTAACCCTTCTTCTTCCCTCTTTTCTTGCATGTATTCCCTCTATCTCGAATAAAAATAAAAACTAAAAACGAAAACCAGGGTTGAAATTCTGGTGAAACTGACATGAAAAAGATATCTAAGACAGCATTCTACAAAAGGAAATTTGAAAGACAGCAGCAAAGAATCTGAAGATAGATATAGCAAAGACAAATCGAAAGTTACTGCACTCTAATTACTTTGATCTCATAATTGGTACATCATGCTACTTAAATACATCCCAATGTATTTTGGAATTTTGAGATATATTCCAATTCCGATCCAATTTTTCTTGAAATTTTTCGACTTCAGAAGTGGGATTTGATTTGGGCATGCCAAAGTTGAAAATTTTCAGATCGAAACTGCCCAAAAAACGGAATTTCTTACTCAACTTGCACCCCAACTATGGCGACTCGGGTTATATATTAAAGTAAAACTATGTTTTGGATGGCAATAATTTAACAATGATAGATTTTGAGTTTTTCTATTTAAACCCCACACTTTTCTTTGTTCACCCAAATACATAAATCATTAATCTCTAAGTTTTATTGTTGTGTAAAAAGACAAAAAATTCATCCAACTTAATACTTAACCCTAGTACAACGTAGTAGCCTAGCCGGGGAGGGAGATTCTTTAGCTCCACTCCTTGTTATATATATAGTAGAAAATATAGTGGAAAACTACGCTTCAAAATCAGGCCCAAAAAATGATCCTTTTGAAAGGTCCTATCTTGACCCATGCAAGCCATGAAAGTGACCTTTTGGATTAGAGAACATGGCCTCTGGTACTCTTTCCTGGGTTGATCGAAGAGCTGCTAACAAAAAGGCGAAGGCAAGATTCACAATAAAATAACCGTGGACGGATTGAGCCAATGTTTTCAAAAATTCCAATACCATAAGTGGATTCCACAGCTATTTTTTATTATAGATTTTGCACCTTCAAGAGAGATCTAGAAGGGAAGGTATATTGAATTACAGAAACCGATTCACGTGTACTTCTTGTTGCTACAAGGCAAGGAAGATAGATGAACTAATTCAAGAAAGTCATTTGTGGACGGGAAGAGTACAACATATTCCAAGGACGAATCTATCTCATTAAAGGATTTTGTGGACAGTGCACAGACCTCAGACAGATTGATTAAACCAATTATTGTAGAGTTTCCGGGGGAATTAAAGTCATTCATGTGTGCCAATTTCCTTATGGTTGACTTAACAATTGGGATACTGGTTTCACCGTACTTATAATCCTTCTTTCATTATATGCTAATTTCAGCCTATTAGTTCATAACGAAGCTCAGCTGGGCTGGAGGGACACATACAATGTATGTAGGGCTTATACACATCTTTAGTAGTTCTCTCCAAAACCCCTGTCTTCTGCCTACCAATGGGAGAGAGAGCTTGTTGGATGGATAGAGTGAATGCGAGAATGACATAAAGGAATGGGATACTACTAAAAAAAAGTAAGAAACACGGGAGCCTGTGGTTGATATAAGAAGTACTTACTATCTTTCCCAAACACCCCCTGTTTTGCCTACCGACCTTAACTTCTCTTTCTAGGCCCTCTACGCTTATCAACGCCTGCATTCATTTGATTGCTTGTTGTACTCCTACCATATTCCTCTGTCTTTGCATCTCAATCCCGAATCGACTATAAGTCTTCTTTGCTATAGCTTGAATCCGTGATCGACCTAAAATATATTATAAAAAGTCTTTTGTTTGCTGGCTTGAGTTCGCGTGATTTATTTCTCTTATTATAAGCGCCAAATCCGTAACTCTCTTCTTGTTGCTAGCAAATGGGAAAAGACTACTTCTTGGACTGTGGCCGACACAAGAGAAGACTAATTAGAGATTTGCTAAGCGAATGAGCCCTAGCTTGATCTAAGTCTTATACATTAATTAAGCAGCCTGACTTATATGCTCCTTTTACCTTTCTTTATTACACCGTGTAGATGAAGCAAAGAACATCTACTATCTATAACAAAAAATCAAACCTAATTGCACCACCACTCTTCATATCTCCCTCCTCGGCTATACACTACCCCACCACTCTTCATATTAAGTTTTAGAAAAACACAAACTCCTTTACACCTTATTGCTAGATTACTCATCTCTTTCAATCCAAGAAACCTACTACACTCTAATATTCTTTTCACAAACTCTAAATACAGTATGCAAATAGTGGCTTGTGGGTCATCAATTGAAGTATGTAATGTGAGAAGTTCCCCCACAAACCTAACTGCATGAGTTAAACTATTATAGCATCATCAACAATCTCACTCTACTCTCCCACTTCCCCCCAAAGTTCCCTCAGAAGATCAACCCCATGAAAATCCACGATGAAGAAATGAACAAAACACCTTACAGTTGTAGATGGCAGAGGAGCTTAAGATAACTATTAGAACTACCAATTCAGGGAAGCCTCTCTATCGAGCAATGTCAAATTAACATTGCATCATAAAGAATTAACAGTTGATAATGGCAAAACATTCAACACGCTTGGGAAGCATTTTCCATTGAGGAAGATAACCGTCTTTGTCAACCAAATAAAAGTTGTGCATCCACATGTTGTTGGTCTGCAATTAAAGTTCTGAATTCAAGATTGGAAATCGCAATAAGCAAGCATTGGCAAGAGTAATTAAAAGCCAATGGAATGAAACTGACAATGCCATGGAAGAAAAGAAAATATTTACCGCAAGAAGTAAAAGTCCAATGACACCAAGAACAAGGCCTGCAGCTCCAAGGAAAGCAGTGTTCTCACCAAAGAACAAGGCCGCAAGTATAGCCACCATCAAAGGTTGTGAATCAATTATAACATGGGGTGTGGGGTTGATGAGTTTTTTTTTCCTGGGCGTGTATTTTGGAGTAGTTAGGAAGATAATGGAGTTTTCTTAGAAATTGTAAAAATTTTGAATTAGAAGTTGAGATGAACTTAGAATATAAAGTGAACAAAGAGAAGTGCGAAGTTTAAAGAGAAAAACTCTAGATTTTTAGTTGACTTGTATTCATTTTCCAAACTTAATATGACAAGCTTAGGGACTCGAGAGACCTTTGCCCTCTTCTCTGAGTTGAAGGCTACAGATTCTTCATTAACATCTCATATTTCCTAATTTTCACCTCTGATAGCACACTATTGTCAAGTTGAAAGTGTCTTTTCTCCCTCACCATCTGATCGAAGCAAAAGCTCACACAACCTAGTTAGAAATATTGATTTGATTTTATGGGAATTGGGAATTGGGCATACGGATCACCAAAAGGGGTCTGAGGATTAGGACGAGATTACAGTACATGTGGCATTCACATGGTATTTTAGTCGGGCATGGAATTGTTAAAAAACTAACAGTTTGACAAATAAATTAATATAAAAGTTAAATTGGCTGAAAAATTAATTCAGAGTGGTAATTTCGACATTTTGAAATAGTTCAGCGGGTATTCGGCAGTACCCTTCTCGTAATTAGTATAAAACTTATTTCAATATACAAAGAAAAACTGAAATATATTGGTACTCATCAAATTTATATATAAAAGATTTGGGAATTAAACAAAGCTCAACTTGCTGCCACTACAAGTGCAAAACTAATCAACAATACACGTTGGGATTCAGTAGTCTATTATTCGGAATTGCTCTACCGGTTCGGACACTGCATTTGGACACGATATTCAACTCATTTAGCTTGTCGCTTAAATGGGCATTGCAACGAAATCCATTTTCAGCAGCCAGATATCAAACAAAACAAACTAGCAGAAAGCACACTTCAAAACTGGTAATTGCATTAAAATGAAGAAGAGGCAAGTCTAAATGCCATAATTGAAGAAAATAAACTAACACCATCCACCAAACAATTGCAGCATGCAATAACAATTCATTACAAAAGTATTTTAATCACTACCATAAAAGATAAGTTTTCCAATTCTCAACACCTAGCAACCATCTGACATGCTCAGGGTATTCCAGTTCACAGGTCTTGCACACTCAAACCTGCAGACATGAAAATAACATTTTTATCTCTTCAATCAGTCACAACAAATTCAACAAAAACCCAGTATAACATCAAATCAAATAAACCTAAACATTCAAAGTTGCCTAAATCATTTAACAACAAACTCAGTTACATGAAAAAAAAGGCTCTCAAAAATAAATAATATTACTTGCATCCTAACAGATGAAAGGAAAAATGGGTGACCTAAAAACATATCTACAGTACTATAATATGTGTATGAACATACTTTCACAACCCATGAAATTCCATTTGCACAATAAATTGTGGAAAAATTATAGAGGCTTATGAAGAATCCAGTTGATATCTTGATGCCTAAATCACTATAAACAAAGCATACAAAGCTAATAACTTTTAGGACATACAATAGCATCATTACCTGCTTCTAAACAGATAATGGTGTTTTCATAACATTTTACCTGGGGGAAGAGACTGCTTCAACTTGTCAGCCTTCTCTGAGTCAAACACACAAAGTGTGTACAGGTACTTGGAGCAACGAACCTTGAACTTGACCGCATCTTTGCTTCTCTTGATTTTCACCGAGCGTGCATCTTTCCTTCTTGCAGTGAGAAGGAAATCTTTAATCTCATGGATTTGCTTAGGCTGTGGAGAAAACAACAAACATGAACTCTTAGCACCAAAGAGTAACAAGTAAAACAATAAAGGAATCCAATATCAGCAAACAAGATCATAACCATAGCAGCCAACATTAACAAATAAATGTAACAGAAAAAAAAAAACTGAATATTCCAAAACAATCAAACAGGCATCAAATTAGAAGTAATGAGATGGGCAATAAAATATGAATCAACTAAGATTGATAATATCATCACTGATGTACTGTAATCAGGAGGAGATGGGCAATAAAATGAAATTCTATACAACATTTTTATTGAGGGTTCAAGACAATCTTGACATTGTAAATTTTGACAGTTGTCTCTTACTAGCATAGAATCCAGAGTCTACAAAAAGGACTGGAAGCTAAGAACAGAGCCACTAAACCGAATCACAATACTATGAATTATCATTTTAAATGCAAACATGAATTATCGAAAAACATTCATTTATCTAAATATACATTTAAATATTATTCAAAGATATTCCACTTAACCTCACCCATCATCCTTTGAACATTTCCTTCATTCTCTCTACCTAGACTCTGAATTTTCATTCACTTTGCAGTAAGAAAGATACTAAAGACTACTATTTTATTTATTTATTTAATAATTCTATATTGGATTATACTCCAACCAATCCATACCTAAAATGCACCTCATCAAAGGATTTTTTTTCAGAAATCCATGTATCTCCATTTATTCGAAAAACACAAGCAACTACGGCCATACTGAAATGGACTAAAACCAGAAAGTGCAAATAGCACATAATCTTCAGGCCAGGTCCAAAAACACCCAAACAAGAAAAATTGAAGGAAACCCATTTCACTACACGGGTCGATTCACACATAAAAATACCAGAGCATACACTTAAACGTGTGTCTATACGTATACACACACATATATATACATGTCAGTAAGTGCAAAGTTAAGTGTATATATCAGATGTGTGTATATGCATCCATGCATCTATATGTTTACAAACATGTTAATCAACACAATAAAGGGTGAAATGAAGATACCATTCTGACGGCGGAGAAGCTTCTCCTTCTTCTCCTGGAAAAGGCAGATCCACACGAACCAAGCCGCGTTATGGGTTCTGAGCTACATTTATACCTCAAGGTGCAAGAGGCTCATTTTTAACCCTAGAAAAATTGGGTCGAATTACGCTTTGTAACCCTGCACAACCGGGTTCTGAAATGGGCTTTTCTGGCCGAGTAGTTTCGCGGGCCAACACATATTAATAGGTTTTTATTAGGGAAATGACCCTCAGTGCCACCCCTTTAATAATTTTAACTAAAAATACCATCTCTTCCCAATTTTTTTATAACTATCAACTATAAATAGAAAATTATTGTACCCTTATTGCTCTCCTAACACATTTTCTGAAATTGACCTCCTGCCCATCAGCTCTCCGTCGCTCAGTCTCTTCATCTTCACTCTCTGGTCACTCTGCTCTCACTTTCTCGTCTCTCAGCTCTAACTCTCTCATCTCTCGTCGCTCAGCTGTCACTCTCGCTTCTGTCTTCCTGTCCCAGAAAAATCTGTGCATCGAAGAACAACGCCATCATTCACAGCAAACAAGTACTGTTCATCGGAATTCTTTTACGGCTTAGGGTTTATGGGTTTGTTTGAAATTGGTTGACGGGGTTGTTTGAAATTGGTTTAGGGTTTGGG